TCTTCTCTGTCTGGTGTTGCAAGTAGTTTGCTTGCTTGGTTGAAAAACATCTTGTTGTGTATGCTGTTTGCTGCCCAGTATGCTCTTTTGATATAGATTGACATTAGACTTTCTTTTCAATTTTGCGTACTACTTATTTTCTTATTTAGATATTAATGGTTTCTGTTTGCTACTTGTTGTTCTGGAATCTTCTATGCTTCTGTTTATCACTATCCTAATTAGGTTTATTTGCATACTGACTAATCTACGTGTTTGTTTTGTTTTTCTGTTCACATGTTGTAGTGATCTACAGATCTACATTTCCAGATTACAGAGAATTTCCCAAATTCTGTTTTTCCTAGTGTCAACCAAGGCATTTTCTGTTCTATCTTCTTAACAAGTTATCCAAATTTTCTCTTTCTTGCCCTTGTTATACCTTCTTTATTCATTCTATCTTTTTCCTTAAACCTGTGAAATCAGTTTAGACAGTCGTTTGTTGGCAAATTTCTAAATTGTTTTCTTATAGTTTGTGTATGAGTAATCAGCAAGAAGAGTTATGATTGATTGGCATAAATTAACTAATTAACTTTTATCTAAAATCACATAATAAAATATGCCTTTTGATTAAAAAACATACCTTAAGCATGTTTTTGAGGCATGCTTCTAAACCTTATATCACCAACTTTACTATATATGCTTATTGTTTATTTTATTTTTGTTTTATGTAAACAATAAATTTGCAGAAACAGAATCAATAAAACTCTTCAGTTTTTTTAAAAATATTTCAACTTTTTATCAAGGATTTTTGTTACCTTGCTGTTGTCTGTTGTTGTGTTGTTTTCTTTTTACTTTTCATCTTGATTATCTGTAATCTATAAGCCTCTTTCTTTTTTTTAGTGCTTTAAGTGTTGCTTCTTTGTGTACTTCAGTGTTTTTCTGCATTTTTGCTCCTGTGATTTTCAGTCAAAGAATCTGCAAAGAAGAGTTGATCAATGTGATCGTTTTAATATTAAATTTTATATCAATACATTAAAACTTTTAGAAATTATAAAAATAACATAATGTCACAAAATTACAATATAATATAATGGTATGCTATAATAATGTTACCAAATATATAAGTTTTACGTTATAATATCATAATTAAACTATTTATTTACTAGTAACGGTAATAACATAGGACTAAACTACTAAAAAATTCGTTATCTTGCAATCCTTTTAAAGGATCGAACAAAAATCAGCTGGTTTTAAAAGATGTTGTTTGATCAGGTAATAATAAATAAATTTGGTTGATTAATTTTTAATCAAGCAAGGAGTATAACCTCTTAATCATTTATAACATGCCCTAATACAAGTTTATTATGCGTAATAAACATATTAATTTCGCATGACACGCAATATAAATTTCCTTATCATTTATCAAACTCCACGTAATGTTATTTAAAGTCAATGAAATATTTGGTTTCCTAAAAATCACCTATGTCCATGCCCATCACTATGCTTTAACAGGCACAACCAAAAATACCTACTCATTCGTACTTCAAATCTATCTTAAACATTATATGTTGTTCCGAAATATTGAAGATAACCAACTCAAGGATCGATATTGTTCAACTTAACAACGAGTAAAGGTTAAGTATATGAATTAATTTTCTTAATTAATTTGACCTCACGCGTAGAGCGAAGATCCTGATTTTGATAGAATAGATGGCCTATTTATTCTCAGATAAATAATGTATCGATTTATTTTACTTCGGGCAAATTTGAATAATTTTGTCACAAAAAAGTGATTAATTTCATAAAATGAGCTTTTCGAACCCTTCATTTCGGCAAATTCCATAACTCGTGTTTTCAGTTCTTCTTCTGGCATGTTGTCAACCTTGCACCATAACTGGAGAACTTGAAGCTTTTCTAATTACTAATAAGCTTTAGGAATTGTGTGGAAACCCCAATCTTCTTAATGTAGAGGTATGTATTGTTTGGACAAAACGTATCAATTGCTTTTAGTCTTCTAAAAACACTTCAAAATTGAGTTTTGGTCTTTGTATAGATATGCCATACTTGTAAAACTAAACTCATATTCCATGCGTCGATCTGGATCTCTAAAGTGCTGATTTTATAATCTAATATTTCCGACAGTTTCATACTGCATACCTAATACGAAGCATCTCTAAATTTTTGCAATTTTTTGTATTTGATATTTCCTGGGATTTCCTTTTTACTGAAGGGTACTACGATTCCTCGCAGCAAGCTGACGTACTACGGTTCCACATCGCCGTCCGACTCAAGCTGCCATACTAAGGTTCCACACAGCTGACCCCCAAGCTGTCGTACTACGTTTCCTCACTCTATAAGATCCTAAACGAATCTGACTGATTCTCCCAATATCCAACAAGCTGTCCAATTGTTACAATGATTGATTTAAGATCTTCATCTTATCGATGATGACTGTTAAATCCATCCTTTCTTGCTCCAATTTCACTTTGATGTCACCGCTTTTGGCCAAACCTGCCCCAGTTCGAGCTATCGTACTATGATTCTTCGCGCTTTTGCAATTTAATAATGCAAATAAGAGCATCGGCTCATAATTAGAATGAAATTTAAAATTTAAATGTCAAACTACTTGTGATCCTAGTGTTTTCCCAGAACCTTCAATAATTCAACGTTGAATTCTGGTGTAATGTCCAAAAATAAACACTGCAGCCGTGAAAAAAATTGATCATTTCGTTCTAATGAGTAAAAGACCATAATAATATTTAATATTGTATCTATAACCTATCACTCCACTTTGTGTATGAAGTATATCAATCAAGCTGCGTGGTTCATAATAGCAAACATACAATATTCTTCAGTATTAATAAACTAAAAACCTTTGGAGAATCTGAATTAAATATTGTTTTAAGACGTGATGCGGTATCAAAAAAGATTTCATATCGTGGTTGTTTCTTATTCCAGCAATTTGAGACATAGTGAATATACCTTAATTCATATATATCTGGATAGATATCCCTGTAATTCCATGAAGATTTTAAACAACCTAGGTTTAGGTATATGTAACTCATCCTCTTGTATTTCAAAGGTATCAAATGTTCCAGTGAGGTTTCGTAAATGGTGATTTGCAACTGATCGGGTTGTGTCATAGGTAAAGTGAAATGATATATGGTAATAGGATTCTTTCGTAAAAAGATTATTAGTTTAGTAATATTGCATTAAAATATAAAGCCAAACCTTTGAAATTTTAATTACCAATGATGTTTAATATCCTTCTGGTTTGAACTTGAAGGATTCACGTAAAGCAAATTCATGCAACATTTTTAACAAATAATTTGAATAATAACTTAATTACGGAACGCATTGCTGTTATGTCTTTAATACGTTTGATTTGAACCCTTTTCTAACTCCACTTTTTAAACGAGATGGATCAAGAACATTTAGAATCTTGCATAATCAAATAGTGTATTGGAAAATTCTGTAATTATACCACAATCTTTTAAAATAGATCTTCAAGAGATGAAAAATATCTAGATTTTCGTCTTAATAAAAATGGATCTTGGCAATGAATAGGTATTAACACTTGCACCAATACCAGTTCACAAGTGCGTGTAAGTATAAGGAATAAATTTTATTATTTAGATTAAGAATATTCCCCAGTAATTCGTGAGAATGGAGTCATAGGACGACTTTCTTCTGATTGGCTGATGTAAATCAATTGCCTGGGTAACTTATTTATACACTTTAATAAAAGTACTTTTAAGAACGTAACCATAAAAGCAAATTCTAGCTCTAAACGAACGTAGATATTCGCTGTTAAAATTAGTAGAACTTCATTTAGGAGCGAATATTTTTACTATATACTGCTAATACTAGTTACAACACGTGATAATTCTATATATATAATGCTAATACTAGTTACAACGTGATAATTTTTATTACTAAAACCAGTGTGGACATGGTTTGGACAAATAAATAATTTAAAATTACTCGAAATTTTATTAATCTGTTTTAACTTTCTAAATAAAAATATTCAACACTATAAAAAATATATAATTATATATTTTTTAAATTAATATAATAATTTTTGAAGCTTGTATATGCTGTGGACATTCTTGTACATGTGGACGTTTGGACATTGGACATGGTCTAAAAAAGTCTTGGACATAGTAGACGTAACAACACTGACTAAAACAGTAATTATTGAAAGTTTCACTCAGAATTAGAGTGTCCAGGGGACTGCGGTGCATAAATCTGCTCATTCTAAAAATATTTTTTGTATTGTATTTGATTTTTAAATCACGTTTTATCTTACAAAGACAATAAAAAATGATTTTAGAATGAGCAGATTCATCAATTGATCTTAAAAATATTTGTGGCAAAGTTGTTCTAAGGTCGAAACCCTAATAAAAAATTTTATAATACTTATAAATTTTTTTTACTACAGTAGTTGGTTTATAAATGTTATAACTTAACAAAAAATTATCAAATTAAAAAATCCTCTTTCAAATTGATAGTTTGTAACCTAAACTACATTTTTAAAAGAGGATTTCTTTGTATTTTTATTTTTAACAGTGTTATAACTGCTTATACTTTGTCTATTTTATATATAAATCAAAAATTTGACACTGATCTACATGCTTAAGCCAATAAAAACCAATTATTTTTGTGTTACATTATTCTAAATTTGGAGCATCTTAGTAGAAAGTTGATACTTTATAGTGACCTGTCTAAATTTGGTGCCTTTTTAATAATAAAAAATCCAAAAAAAATATTTTTTTAGAATCTATAATTAATGAAATTTATTATAATATAAAATTTTTTTTCCAAAAATTTTTTGACTCTAATTTATCACAATGGCGAGTTTCTGTAAATCACGTGATAGCATTATATATTTGTGATGCATATTTTAAAAATTTTTACAAATCGAATTTCGTAATAGCGATATATCACAAAATTAGATATAAAGGAATTTGTTCCAGGTTTTGTCAATCACTGTTCTGATCCACAAATCAGATCTCAAGATCAAGTGTAACGTAACACGATCAGGAAATTTCAAAACAAACGTTTGTTTTGTTAAAAATCACCTATTTCTCAAAAACCAATATAAAAACCATTTTTAGTGTTATAACAAAAAGGTTTTCTTAAGTAATTTTATTATATAACTATTTTTTTTTTGGTATTAAGGTGAGGTTTTGTCTTTATTTTTATTAATAATTTGTTATAGGCAATTACAAGCGTTAACACAGGTCAGAGTTAATTTATAAATTTTTTACAAGAATGAGACTCAGACTATAGATGAAATTATTATTTAATTTATCTAATTTATCTGCAATCTAAATCTACTAGAGTGGTTAAAACTCATCTAGATTTGATAATGTAAAATATGATTAGTTAGAGTACTGTAGTTTATCTATTTGGATATTTATTTAGTTAGTTTTTTATTAATTTTTTCTTGTGGTAGGCAAGTATAAGAATTGTAAAAGTTTTTTATATGTTGTTAGTCAGGAAAATTATAATTGTAACTGTAAATATATATTGTTCTGGTTTGTGTTAAGGATCTAAATGTGTTTGTATAGTTTGCTTATTGATTATGAAATAGTTAATTAAAAATATTGTTTTGTTGCTTTCATTCAGATAGTTTGATGCAGTAAGGTTTTCAAATTTGGTTATAAATATTTTATAATAATTGAATTAGAAATTTTATTGTAATGTTAGTTGCTAGCTAATTGCTAATTATGTATTCTTATATGGTATAAATTAGTAAGAATAGAACAAAGTCTTGTATTGTTGTGTATATATTTGTATAATTTCTAATAAAATTATTTGAAAAAAGACATAGATGATTAGTAAGTTTATTGTATAGTTCTCATAGTTATATAGTTGTTATATTTAATTATGAATAATTAAAGAATTGTTGTATCATATTGGTAATAGTAGAGTTAAAATGTAATGAGCTTGGGTAAATTAACCAATGCAGCTGACTATTGTATATATTGTATGAAATGCAATTAAGATTAAGATATGTTGTTGAATAAAGAGAATATAAGTAAGATAATATAGGTAGTATTCCTAGCATTAGCTTGATTTTAAATGTTTTTTTTTGGCATAAAGTAAAACTGGTATAAGATGTAGATCTTTTGTGATTGTTGTTAAGGAAAAGTCAAGTAGCATTTCAGTTGATTTGCAAGAATAAAGAAATGATGTTTTTTATTTAATGTTGAAAGAACTACATTACTATGTTGTAGGCATTACTAATGTTTTTAATAGTTCTATATATAGATTGCTCTATAACATATTTGTCATAATAGAAATAATATGATAGATTGTATATATTGATATAAAGAAGGCTAAGTATATATAGTTGAGTTTGGTTTTTAGCTAGTTTGTCAGCTATATTATTTAGCATATTACTACTGTATACAATTACTTTTTAGAAATTAATTTGAATTTGGTACACAGTGATAAAGTTTAGTAGTATATATCATATTGACCAGTAGTTATAAAAGTATATTTTATTAGGTGTAAGTAGTAACTGTATAAGCTTATTATATTTGAAAATTATTGATTGTGAGTTAGTATAAATAGTAATAGTACTTATTTTTGGATATGTGCTAACAACAAAGAGAATTGCTATAAGTTCTGCTTTGTATAATGAGGACCAAAGTTTAATTTTTGCTGAATATTAATGCAATATAGTCTTATTTTGAATTTAAATCCAACCAATATCTATTTTGTATCTGTTATTGCTTACAGAACCATTAGTATAAAATGTAAACTGTAAATAGTATGAGTTGTTTTATGCAATTTGTTAAAGAATTTGTGTAGCTTGATTTTGTACAAAAGTATTAGGTATAGCATTGTTGTATATAATGATATTAGATTGTAAAGATATTGTAGTAGAGTTTCATAATGCAATAAAATATAATAAGTCAAATAGATTTGCATGAAAATTAAGCATAATAGAGGAATTAGAGTTAACTTTTCTGTTTAGAAATTTGGTTATAAAGTTAGTAAAAATATTAAATATGCATTTGTTTTGTATATGATTAGAATTGAGATAGCATCCTGTGCATTATTTGCAGTTATAGTTAACTGAAGGATATAGGTAAATATATAAGATATCAAAGTTAATTAGCCAATATATTATAGAAATTGTGTTTTCTGTTTAGTTGTATTTTCTTGCTTTGTTTATAGTAATATTGTTATGTTTATGATTATAAGTAATTATTTAAGATTTAGATATATTTTTGTAGTGTTTAGTAGTAAATGAAATAGAGTTAGTATGAGATAGTTGTAGTTGAAAACTTATTAATCTAGATTAATGATTGATAATAATTGTGTTTTCTAAAGTAGTGAACTATAATGATTTACAGTCTTTAGATATATATTGGATTCTTTAAGATATATATTTTTAGTCAAATAATACAGAGTTATTATATAATGTTAGTTGCTTAAAGTATATTATTTCTTTAATATATAGTTGTTTTTTAAATTGTATATAAAGTTTATAAGTAGTAAGAAATTGTTCAATTGGTGCATATAAATAATAAATAGTATAGAGTCTAAGAATATTAAAGCTAACTAAAAAAGTTAGCTGAAATTTATTAAGTAGTTGTATTATTTTATAGGTAGTTGTATTTTTGTTAAATCTATCTATATATGTGTGAGGATGTTGTAAGATGTTAGTTGTTAACTATAAATTGTTTTGCAGGTTTTGAAGTTGAATATGAGTACTAATGCTTATTAAACTTGAGTTATTAATATAAAGTTGAAATTTTGATATATAATGTTATGCTTGTATATTTCATATGTTTTTAATACTATATATTATGATTAAGTAGTGTACTATTTGGTATAAATATTGAGAGTTTAGCTTTGTATTTAGCTGTAGTAAGGTATCGTGATATGATTTGGTTGCATATTATATATAATATTACTATGTTTTGTATACAATACTCTAAGATTGAAATAATTATAGTATTGATAATATAAGCAACTTGTTTGTTTATAATATTTGTTAGTTTTAAGTATATTGTTGAGTCTGAGTATTTCTTGTTGTATTAATTTGGTTTGTGTTGCATATTGTAGAGTAGCTGTAAACCAGCAGTCTAGGAATTTGAAAAAAGTGTTGTTTGGTTGTGCTTGA